ATTTTAATAAAGAATGCAAAGGAGTAAACAATAAAATTACAGAACTTCAAAGGCCTTGTAATGAGTCATACTCGCTAATCACGTGACAGTTCGAAATCCAAGCGAGGATCGAAAACTCATGACAATTTTTACCTTAAAAAATACTGGGTGGAGCTGCCAACGGCTGATCAAAGATGACTACAAGATGGGTCACTCTCGAATCTAGGACGCGCCAGGTACGCTGGAAAAGGAGGCGCAAGATAATCGGACAATTGATAACTCGTTCCTGTAATTGTCAAATTTAATTGAGTTTACTTTTTCATTCATATTGTACAAGCAGAAATAGAAGCAAATTGTTAAATATGTTCATCAAATCTTAAGCTAATTAGAAGATTTAGAAGAGCAAGAAGACTGACAATTAATAACTCGTTCCTGTAATTGTCAAATTGAACTGCGTTAACTTTTCCATTTACATTGTACAAGTAATAAACAATTTATTTGATAAAACATGACTTGATTTTAATCATTGATTATAAAATGTCTTTGGAAAAAAAAACTTAATTTAGATCGCAATCCAAATTGCTTGATTTAAATCAAATAATCCTAACTCAAAGCTTAATATGATATATTATGATATAGGTAGCCTATAGTCTGAGGCTATAGATATAATGAAAAAAGCCACTGCTCTACTATTAAGAAGACAGACATGAAATGTTTTGTTCTGTCATTGGAATTAGAAGCATAAAATTAAATATCAATTTAATTTATTGAAAAAAACATGAATTGATTTAAATCAATGATTTTAATTGGAAATCCACTTGATTTAAATCGCGATTTAAATCAATGATTTAAATCGGCCTGATTTAAATCAAAACACCCTGGTTTCAACCCTAAATCAAAGCCTATATAAGCAGGCGGGACCCGAGGGCTTGGGTTTGGATAATTAAACCTATGCCTCGGTCATAATGTAAGAAGTCATTTTTTGTCTTTGAATTCACCCACTTTATCAAGTTTGAGCCATGTGCTCACTTTATAATATTATAATAAATATAGAGATTATTATAAAAATGCAAACTAGGTTTGGTGAGGATCTTTACAAATCCTGTTTGAATGCCTTTATTTGTTTCGGAATGCTCAAAAAAGTAGATATTACTCAAAGTAGTATATTACTTTTGTGAAGTAATAACTAATATTGAAAAAAGCTATTACTACGCAGTAAAAAGTGTATATTACTTACTACTTTCAAAGTAAATATTCGACCAACTCTGGTCATCAAGATCTTAAACAATTGTGACATGCGAGTATAAATGTTTACCAAACTATGCTAATTAGTTACTAGGAAGCGTATAGGGACTAACCTTGTAAATATATTTTTGTTTGCTCGTGACTGTCATTTGTGCTTCATGACGAAATGAAGAAAGCTGACGAAATTAATTACTGTTCCCAGTCCTCGTATCCGATCCTAGATTTTAACTCTCGAGCCCTCCTATCCGAGTCTTATATTTAGTTATCGAGTCCACGAATCCGAGTCCATCAAAATGAGCAAATCCATGATTCCGAGTCCACAGACTAATCTCAACTTATTTCAACAATAGTTGCATACCTAAATACTAAATAAGTTGTTTATTTTGTAATAAACATGAATGATAAAAAGTCATTGAATTGTGTGTAATTTTTGTCACTGGGTAAATTTTTTAAAAAGTACTTTATTATTCTATAGAAAGTTCTTGGGAGAGTAGTTTATAAGTTTTCTCATAATATTTCATCCCCTTGTTTATATCCAGAAAAAAAATACTTAATCAAAACTACATTGAAATGTTTGGAAAAATTGAACACTGAACGCAAAACTCTTTTTTTGCGTTCAGCGTAAAAAAAAAGTTGCGTTCCGTTCACAAGCCTGGTATTACATAGGTAATTTTTTGTTGATCGGATCGCTGATCGGAAAAATCTTGATCGTCATATCGCTAATCGCAAATATTTCTGTCGCTATTTTGATCGGATCGCTATTTTTTTCTTATCGCTCACAAGCCTGGAAATACCTATTATCTTCGAAAAGACGACAATGGGGAAGGTTTGTGTTGCTCGGGTTGCAGAGAGTGGCTACAAACCAAAGGGCAATGAGGGGAAAA